GTCCTTGGAGAGGGACATCATGTTTGGCAGAGTGGGGGGGGGTGAAGGAGAGGAAGACCTTTGATGAGATGGATTGATTCTGTGACTGAAGCAGTGGGAATAAGTGCATTTGGGATGGCTAGGTCGGCACAGGATAAAACGGCGTTTAGAGCTCTTGTACATAGGTTCACTATGAGTCGCAAATGACTTGATGGCACATAACAACAACAAGTGGTCTATTGGGTAGGGAGTCACATCGCCAACCTAAAGGCAGAAGGTTCAAATCCATCGTCTACTCCTTTGGAGAAAAAGGGACAATCTTTTCCCATGTGATTTATAGGCTCTGACAGAGGGCCAGCGATGGGTCTATTCTAACTTCATGGCAATAAGTGAGTGATCCTTTTAATTAGCTTAAAATCTAAAGAGGGAGAGATGCCTAAGTAGCCAGAACTTTATGGGGAACTCTGGTTGCTTAGTCCATAAGGGAGTTGCCCAGGAGCTCAAAGGTGGTGCCTCTCTAGTGGTTTGAATCCACCAGTGGCTCCTTAGGAGAAAGATGAGCAATCTCCTCCTGTGTGATTTACAGCCTCGGAAACCCAGTGGCGGGGGAGCTGTGAGTTGTGATGACTCCACAGTACTAAGATTGTTTTTCAGAGCCAGAACTTTTAGTGTAAATTCTAACAGAAAGTTAATAGAAAGTCTTGGAATTCTTTTGAGAAAGGGTTTCAGGCTCTCAAACAGCTCATGGTGATTCTCTAAAAAACCAAACACCACTTCATGGACTTTAGCTGAGAATGGCCAAAGACAAGGTGCAGAGCTTCTGAAAGCACATCCTTGAAACCCTGTGTGCTCTGTACCCTCAGGAGAGCCCAATAGTCAAGAAAAGTGGGGTCACCAACCACAGGATCACGGCGTTGCCAAGGGCGCCTACTGCCAGGTCCACAAGTCCGTCTTCATTGAGGTCCAGCTGCCCGTGGATGCTGCAGCCGAAATACTGGAGGCCAGGTGCTAGCTCGGAGGCTGAGATTCTCTGCAGTGGTGGGAGGAGGAAGCAGAGTGTGCACTGTGGGACAAGGCAGGGCAGGGCCTCCCCTAAGGGGTAGCTGCTGTTGAGAGTCATGTGTGCCCTCGAGTCAGAACTGACCCATAGCTGACCCTCTTGTGTGCTTTCAGAGGCAGTAAACCAAACAGGAAGACTGCCCATCCTTCTACAGAACCACTGGTGCATTCAAACCATGTGCCTTTGGGATTGCAGTGCAGTTTCTTACCCTTGGGCCACTAGAGCTCATTGAGAATCATAGAGAGAGACTGTTGAAATCACCAGCAAGCTTTCCCAGGCCACAGCTATTCCTCCCTGAGCCTGTCAGGACCCCTGGATATCTGAGTATATAAACATTCTTTTGAATTAAAATATTTTCTGTCAAGAGTCCTCTAGTCAATATAAACATGCGTTACTTGTCAGGATTACATATTTAATCCAGACACACCACTAATTTTTATATACTTATGTGACTATCTCTTACTATTTGGGAGCTCTGGTGGCCTAGGAAGAAGCTGTACTGCAATCCTAAAGGCATGCTGTTCGAATCCACCAGGTGCTCCATGGGAGAAGAATGGGCAGTTTCCTCTCATGTGATTTGTTGTTGCTGTTGCTGACTGCCTTCGAATCAAGCACGACTCATTGTGACCCTGTGAACAAAAGGCTTGAAGCCCATCTACAACTATCGACATATATCAAAGTTCATAGAGTTTCTGGAGGCATGTTATTTAGGAAGTGGGTGCCACTCCTGCTTCCAATGTGATTACTTCCATGTGATTTACTGCCTCTGAAGACCTACTGGAGGGTCAGCTATGAGTCAGTTCCAACTCGATCACACATAACAATAACAATACCAGTTTCTTACAATTTAGGAGCCCTCATGATACAGGGAATGGTGGTGGCTGCCAACTCAAAGGTAGGTGATTCAAATCCATCAGTTGTTCTGAGGGAGTAAGATGGACAATCCCCACCCATACACTTGATAACATCTGTCAACCTGCTGGAGGGTTGGCTGTGTGAGTCAATTTCAGTTAGACAGCATATAACATCATGGCACAGTTGCTAAGCACATACTTGCTTACCTAAAGGTTATTAGTTCAAATCCACCAGCCGTTCTACAGGAGAATGATGTAGCAGTCTGCTTCCGTAAACTGATAGTCTTGGAAACAACATGGAACAGTTCTCCCTGACTAATATGAGTCAAAACTGACTTGATGGCAACTGATTTTTATCTTACTAATTAAATCTGTAGGTAAAGACGATGACCTAAGAAGATAGGACCTGAGAGAGGCAAGTTTGAGGTGAACAAGCTTGAAGCATGAGATTCTCTGTTTGCAGTCACTTGAATAAATGTGCGTGGAGAGGGAGTGAAGGCAGGTGGTCATCACAGAATTTTTAGGAGGTGGCATAACAGTCACCAAGGGAGCTCTGGAGGTATGGTCTGTAGGGAGCAGTGCTGTAACCCAAAGTCCATGTCTTCTGACAGTTGGTATCCACAGTGGCTCTAAGGGAGAATCACTGGGAAATCTCCTCCCATGTGGTTAGAAATCCCCTGGAGGGTTGGTTGGGGGTTGGTTCTAATCTGAAGGCAATGCATTGGAAGCAATCAAGGAGAGTGCCAAAAGGTGACAAAAGGCACTCATTTAAAATGTTCAACTTAAATACTGTATAAAACCATTACTGTAAAATGAGTATGAGGATCCAAGCCCAGGGAGGGTGGAAGCAGAGGGATGAGGAGGTGCTGAGGAGGAGGGATTAATCATGGGGTCATACAATTTGATGGCTGGGGGGTGAGGGAAATGGGAAGGATCTGGTGTGAAAAACAATGTATTTGAATTTTTAAAATAAACTAGTATAAAATAGAATGTATATGAATGTATGAAATACAATGTAGATGAAAGATCATATAAAACAACGTACATGAATTAAATATTCTGTAAAGGTATAATTATATGAAAATCAATAAAAATATTAAAAAAAATAAAATGTTTGCCTTGAGGTAAGTATAGGTCAGGATGGGCTGGAAGTCCTCATGGTCTAAGAATACAGAAGAAACTCCCAAGCCACAGGCTAAGCATGAGCTTCTGGGGCTTCTAATCAGATGCCATAGTTGATTGATTTATATTCCATGTGTGTAATAAGGATTTTCAAAGACCAATTTTAAGAAAGTAGATTACCAGGCCTTTCTTCCAAGGCACTTCTTGGCAGACTCCAGATGCCAACTTCTCAGTTAGCAGCCAAGCATGTTAGCCATTGTCACCACCCAGTGACGCCTGGGGGCTCAGGTTGTATGCACTATCCTGTCCTGCTGCCTCATGTCCTACCTGCTTTGGCTTTTTTAGGAGGTTGTCTTGGAAGCCATGGTAGATGTAAATGACTCCGCCATGATTGTCCTCCAGAGGGGCTCCCACCACCACGTCATTGTAGGAATCTTGATTGAGGTCTCGAACTGAGGCAATAGAGGCTCCGAATCGGGCATTCTGGTAACTGTGGGAATCCTTCAATGTTCCATTATAAACAAACCGATTCTGCAAAAGCAGGGGCAGGGAAAGGCTCAGGGGGCTTTGGCAAAGGCCCTGGTGTCACCATCTCTGATCTATAGTGTCTTCTCCCCTCCCTGCTTCCCCAGGGTCCCTTCTCTGGCTCCGTGACCCCATTAGCAGTGGATATTTCCATTATCCCCTGGCTTGGTTCCAAAAGGTGGTCACTGGGCTGTCTTGTAACCTAATTTCCCTACTTGTTACCCAGGTCAAAAAAGTGATGAGGCATCCCCGGAAAGCGCCCGGCCCCAACCCTGGTCCCATGGTACCTGTCTCAGGATGTAGACGTACACCTTGCCCCGCTCCCAGCTCTCGCTGAAGTACATGGGTGCACCCACCAGCAGGACATCCGTCACGCCGTCGCCATCGATGTCCACCGACGTGATCTCACTCCCATAGTAAGAGCCTATCTGCGGCACAGGGATGGGGACAAGGAAGCAGGGCCAGGCCTGCACCTCACACGGTGGTCAGCCCCGATCTCACCAGACCCCAGCAGAGGGAAGCACAGCTTCCAATCGGAATTTCTGCGGGGCCGCTGGGTCCTCCCTTCCCTTCCCTGCTTCTGGTTTGGAGCCAGCATGCTTATTTTTGCTTGTCCTTCTATCTATACTTCCTTTTCCTGTTCAGTTTCCCCTTCTCTCCCCAACATTTTCTTGTTTATTTTTTTATTAAGGGCCATTGATTTTTATTTTGAAAATAATAAATGACAAAAAAAATGAAGACAATACAAAATTGATAAAGGGCAATAAAAATTACCCATACTCTCAACAAGGATCCCTGGTGGCACAATGGTTGAGTGATGGACTGCGAACTGAAAGGTTAGAGGTTCGAGCCCATGAGTATCTTCATGGAAGGAAAGACCTGGAAATCTGCTTCCATGAAGATTCAACTCAACTCACTGCCATGGAGTTGGAATAGACTCTTAGATGATCCTCCAGTGGGTTTCTGAGATTGTAAATTGCATAGGAAGTGACTGCTCGTCTTTCTTCCACAGAATTGCTGGTAGATTTGAACCACTAGAAAGGCATGGACTTTGGGTTAGCAATGCAGCTCCCTAAAGACTATGCCACCAGAACTATCCCTCTAAAGAGTTGTTATTATGTGCCATTGAGTCATTTATGACTCATAGTGACCCTATGGACAGCAGGTCTTAACTTTGCCCTATCCTCAGTCAACATTACCATCTCTGACACACCTTTCCCCATTGCTACAGTCACTGTATCTCGTTGACGATCCTCCTCTCTTGCACTGACTTTTCAAACCATGATGTCTTTCTCTAAAGACTGGTCCCTCTTGATATCATAGCCCTGTAATTAAATTCCCAGCCAAACAACAGACAGGCCTTTAAAGTGATCACTAACATCAGGGAGGAACACGTTCCTTAGAATAACGAACCATGTAAAATAAAAAAGGCAGCATTTGCACAGGGATTTGAATGAAAGCAGGAAATAACAGACTAGAAAAGGGTGAATAGAAATGGTAAACACAGGGAAGAAATGGGAAGAGTGCTGTTACAATGCAAGAGTTGCAATCAATGTCACATAACAAAATGTACATAAATCGTCAAGCAGAAAATAATTTTGCTCTGTAAATGTTTGCTCAAATCATGATGAAAGTTGAAAAAGAATAAATTTGGGACTAATACTTAAAAAAGAAAAAATATTATAGTTTAGAAAACCTTATTTTGTCAGCTAGGGTTGCCATACATCCACTTGATGGCACACAACAACAAAATCCCTATATCCAAATATAACTACCATTAACATGTGGATGTATTTTCTTCTCATCTTTTTACCCTAAGCTATGCCACTTGTTAGTATATATTTTTCTTTTTATTAAAATTATCTTATACTATATATAAAGTCTGCGTATTTATTTTTTAATAAATTAATGTATCATGTGGCTCAAGACCACCAGCTGCTCCACGGGAGAAGGATGTGCAGTCTCCTCCTGTGTGATTAAATGTCTCTGAAAACCTGCTGAAGGGTCAGCTATGGGTCTGGTCTGACTGTTAACAACAACAACAACAACAACGTATCATGAGCATATTCTCTAATGATATATTTTTTTCCTTGAACATGGTCATTGATAATCTCATAATATTATGTATGTGTTATAGTTCTGATAGCTGAATGAGTAAGGAGTTGTGCTGCCAACCCAAAGGCAGGCAGTTCGAATCTACCACCTGCTCCACAGGAGAAGGATGGGTATCCCCTGTGTGATTTACATTCTCCGAGGACCCACTGGAGGGTCAGCTCGAGGTGGTTCCGACTCGATGACACATACGTAATTCCCTAGTGAACTCTGGACGTGTAGTCTGTTGGAGTTGCGCTGTGAACTCAACAACCATGCTTCTCTGGAGGTTTGAATCCACCAGGGGCTCCAAGGGAGGAGGATGAGCAGTTTCCTCCTGTGTGATTTACAGTTTAGGAAGCCCAATGGAGGGTCAGCTATGAGCAATTCTGATGTGATGGCAATGAGTCTGAGCTATAGTTCTCTGGGTGGTACAAATATCTTGTGCTTGGTGACTGATGTAAGAGAGGCGTGGATTAATTCAGTGATGCTGCGGAATAAAGATGTGGTGATCTGCCTTGATAAAGACTATAGGTAAGAAAGCTCTATGGTACAGTCTAACACATGGGTTGAGATGGGTCAGAATTAACTTGAAGATACGAGTATGCATGTGCTATCATGATGTAATCAGCCCTCCATTGTTGGACACTTGTTTTTCATTTTTTTCAGTATTACAAAAACCTGAGATAGGCATCTTTGGTCATGTGACGGTGATTTCTCTCAGACATGACCGAGATCTGAGTGCTTGCCAGGCTCCCCTCCTGCCTTGGCTCCATGGAACTCCTGCAGTGAATCACCATCTGCACCATCAGTCAAACCCTGAGAGACCCCCTTGTCTCCACCCTCCACCTCTCCCCTCCGCAGTCTACCAAAAGGCCCTCCTCCTTCACTTCTTCCCAGGGTGAGGTCTCCTCATTTTGCTTCTTGTCTCCAAGCTGGCTCCTGACCCACTCTACTGGGCAGCCAGGATGTACATCTCACAATAGAGCACATGGCTCCATTGATTTGGGATGAAGTCCAAACTCTCCACCGTGATCCTGCCAGATTAGCCTTCCTCCACGGCCTCTGCCTCACCACCCTCTCCTCTCACACTTGCTCCAGGCATACCCACCTATTTCTTCTCTCCAAGGCCCCTGGTTCTGGCCAAGTTCTAGGCCACTCCCTGCACACCCTCCCCTCCTGCTTGTCTCCCTTCACCCCTCCCAGTGCTAATGTCTTTTCATTCCTCAGGTCTCAGCTGAAATGTCACTTCTTATTAAAGGCCAGCAGAAACCTGCCTACTCCACTGAGAATCTGCAAAGGTCCCACTTTCCTCGATGTTTTCTTAGTACTGTACTCCCCCAGCTGCACTTGTTCCTCCATGGCAGACTCGTGTGGCCCAGGGCTGTGTCCATGGTTTCCCCTCCCAGCTTACATACGTCCCGGATATGTTAGTAACCAGGGGCCCTCAGGCTGATTCTGATTCATGGCTCCCACAGGGTTTGCAATGACTGATTTTTATACATAGATCACCAGGCCTTTCTTCTGAGCTGTCTTTGGGTAGAATCCAACCTCCAACCTTCTGATTAGCAAATGAACACTTAACTGCACCACTCAGAGACTGCCTGGTACACCCCAGCCACCGCCATTGAGTTGATTCTAATTCATGGTGATCTTCTCTGGATTTCCAAGGCTGTGAATCTTAATGGGAGGAGATTGCCTTATTCAGCTGGTTTGCAGCCCAATGCTTGTGAAACCAGGGCACAGGAAGTACTTAATAAGCGCTTATTGAGCCAGTGAGTTGCCTACGAAAGGGGGAAGAGCCAAGGACAGGCCTGGTGTGAGATGCTTCACAGGCTCAAGTCGTTCCTCTGAGTCTCATCTGCTTTAGGAGAGACAACATCCCCTTCCACCTTCCTCTTCTTACAGGAGAAGAGAGGTTACAATGCTCTCAAGGCTAAATTGGGCTGGAACCTGGGTCTGCCTGACCCCAGAGCTCAGAACTGTCCCTTTCCTGGCCGTCTCCTGCCTTAGGAGACTTCCACATGAAATCAGGGTCTTAAATCAGGGTTAAAAGCATTTTATGGAGAAGAAGGAGAAAAATACAGAGCAGGGGAAAGAATATCATAAACCCAGGAGAACGAATGTGGTGTGCCTTTATAAAATAATGACGAGGCGGACCCGGAGAGCAAGAGAGGGATGTGAGGGGTGATGGGAGGAGATGGGTCTAAATTAGTGGCCGTACAGCTATGTGGGTCAATGTGATTTAGAATCCACTTAATTTAGCTGCTTTCAGCACTGCGGTCTCTCATTGGGATGTCGAAGGCAGAACTGGGCAGGAAAAATGTTGTAAATTCATCAGCAAATTCCCTACAGCTCTCATGGTCTAGTCTTAAATTCCCGAAAGAGTTGTGGTGGGGTGGGCGGGTGGGCAGGAGGGAGGCGGAGAGGGGGAGGCCTGCAGGGGTATGCGGAGTCCCTCGAGAGAGGAAGAGGAATGGTGGAATGCTGGCTCCCTGAAACTGCAAGAATTTACATTAGACTCAGCGAGGAGCTTGACTTCATGGTGACCAGGAAAGGACAGTAGAAAATACAGGTGACATGGTTCCAGACTCAGGAGAGCAGAAAGTTGGGAGCAAGAGGTCAGGACCTGGCTCGGGTCCAGGGTGCCACAGATGGTACTGAGTAGGGGGCTGTAGGTTTGGGGCTGTGGTGTTAGTTCTTGGTGCCATTGACTATGACCAATAGTAATCGATCAACAACAGATCTGAACTTTGCCCTATCCTGTGACATCCTCATCATCGCTGATATGCTCAAGCCCATGGTTATGGGCACTGTCAACCTTTCTAATTGAGGGTCTTCCTCTCTTTCTCTGACCCTTCATCTTTCCCAACATGATATCTTTTTCCTAGGTCTAGTGCCTCCTGACAACATGCTCAAAGTAAGTTTCCCCACCTTTGCCTCTGAAGGGCATCCTGGTTACAAACCTTCCAAGACAGACTTGGTTTTTTTTCCAGCCCACTGGAAGAGCTCTTGACCAAGTTGTGAATCTGCCCTCTAACCATGGAAAAAGCTTCGTGGTTTCACAGAGCTTCAGTTTCCCTCTTATCTTGAAATGGCTTGTTTTTGGATCTCTTTCTCACCCATGCCTCCTCACAGCTTTCTGATTTGCATTCATGACTATCTAGCATGAGACTCTTAGCAGCAAAGTCTGGCTGCTAACCACATTCCGGCTGGGCACAGCATTATTGTTCTACTCTCTGCTCTCACTGGAGGAAAAGGGATGAGGAGAAGTTTGGTGAACCTGTGGGGCCTTCTGGATGGAAGTGAATGTGGCTTGTCCCCAAGGCTATTCCTTCAGGGTCCCCAGGGGTCCTAGCTATATACCTTGGGTCCCAGCTATATATCTGGTTGGTCTCTCCAGCCCTGACCTCTGGGTCATGAAGAGCAGAGGCCAGCACCTAGGAAATTGACTAGAGCCAATAAACACCAGACTCCAGAGACTTGCTAGGTTCTCCAAGCTGTAGCTGCACCAGAGCCCGGCTTTCCCAGGAGAGGGGGATTTAGGAAGCATGATTGTTTCAAGGCAGTAAGTAACCACATTTATGGATAGTTTTGTACTTTATTCTCGATGTGAATGAGGTATGTGTCCCAATCAAGAAGGATTATTGTGGGTTTAGGGACATTCTCCTGAGATGAACTTTCACTCTGATCTGTTTCTGCTCACTGGCTCTCTGTTGTTTGACAGGTCCCTTTCCTGCTCCCAGGTCCCACAGCTCCCCACCCTCTTACCTGCTCGCCCCGCAGAGCCTGGTGGATGGTGAGGCTCCGGTTGTTGAGCATGGTGAACAGTATGACTTTGCCTGTGTGGTTGAAGCGGGGCGCACCAGCCACGTACACTCGCCCCTGCGTGGAGGACACGACCGATGTGACCGTGTACCCTGCCGTGGGAGGAAACAGGCTGGTCTCTGCTGTGGGCCCAGTAGACCCTGCCAGGGCTGTCGGGGGCTGAACCACTGAGCAGGAAGACAGCTGTGAATGGAGTGGACTTAGGGAAGGCCAGCTAGATGTACTTGTGAGGGGCAGACATTTCCAGGGACAGCTGAGGAGGACTGGAGGGCCCAGGAGAGGGGTTTCTGGGTGAGAAGAAAGCATTTCACCACACCCCCTCCTGGAAGGGATACAAGAAGTCAGGTGAGGCCATGGAAGTCCAGGCTGGCTGACCTGGAACAAACACCTCCTTCACCCTCCGCACAAGAATTTGCCACCTCAGGGAGAAAGGAGTGGTTTGTTTTATCCACATTTTCTTTTCTATCGGGCTGACTTTACTTTTAATCTTTTCTGATCTACTGCTTATTAAGTGGGTCATTGATGATTGGAAAGGTGTAAGGAATGGCTCTGCTCTGGCTCTGGGCATTTACACAGGATTTTAGGAGATTCTTGTAGCTCCCAAGCTTTGCAGACTCAAAGGAGGGAGCTGCCCAAACTCCTGTGGCCCCACAGCTACACCAAGCAAAGAGGCACAAATGGAAACCCAGTGGGTCTACTGGAAATGCTTCAGATCTGGGTCCTCAGAACAGTTCGGCCATATCACCCTGAAGCTTAAGTCATCACAACTCCCTCCCAGGATCCAGGAGAGACTCTTCTGAGAGGGGTGCCCCTGGCAGGTGTGCAAAGCTGATGGCATCTGGTAAGCTCACTCTCAGCCAGATGACAAGCAGATCTTGGCTGATAAAGGGTTCTCGGTTGTCCTTGGGCTTTGGGGCTTCCTCATGGGTGGGGTGGGGTGGTGCAGTGGTATGGGGCTTGGGGGCCAAGTGTCCAAGGGCAGAGGTAGTGAAATGCTCAAAGCCTAGGGCTGCACTGGGAGATTTCTACGCCCCAGCCGCCTGCTGGCTGTGGCTTCAGTTCCCACATGGCTCTCTGGCCAGCAGGCAGGTCACTGTGAGGCCTGGCTAGAGGGCAGAGCCAGGGCCAGAAATCCACGTTGCTTCCTCAGTGTGGAAGCTGAGAGCCAAGCCTGTGACTCCTCCCCCCTCCATCCTCGCTCCCTTGGGACCGGTGAGGAGAATTTCCCAGCTGTCCCAGCAAGGAACTTCAGGTTCTGTCCTCACTAGATGACTCCCAGAGGGAGGAGGAGGAGGGTAAGAGGAGGAAGAGAGAAGGCAGTCAGTCTCTCAGGAACCTCATAAAAGGCACTGATTGTGGTCACAGCAAAACTGTGGGCTTAAGGAGGGTCCTTCAGGCCAGCTTCAGCTACCCAACTCTTCTGAAAGGAAGACATCTCTGCTGGGTAAGGAGTGGCTCTGCATCTCACTATCCCCTCACTCAGCTGCCATCATAGCTCCCACCTGCCAATATGAAAAAATTGAAGCCCCTCAACCTGCCTTTCCAAGCCTCCTGTGGCAGCCTGCCCTAAGCCACCTTCCCCTTTCTGATTTCTCACTCTTCTCTCTTCCAGCTGCAGCAATCTGTTTCCTGGACCTGATGTTGCCTGCAGCTCCCACGCCTCCCTTCTTGGTTAACCTTTCTTTGCTTACTCAGCACCTTCTAATCCTTGAGTCGCGGTTTAGAAGCCAGCACCTCCTCAATGGGTCTCTAGATTGGACCAGTCCATTGAGCTGCAATACCCACAGGTTTTGTCCCACTCGTTTGACATTTACTACATGGGACCCTGGGGCATTGTTGATGTTAATTGTCTTGTTATTTAATAGTTAGTGGTACAGGGCCTTCCACTGCTTGCTTGGGGTCTCCACTTTTGTCAAGAATCCTGAGTAAATGGGAGGAGCACAAAAAGATGCATACAACTGAATCTAGTTAAAGAGATATTATTATTATTTCAAAAGAGCCTTGGTGGCATACTGTGTAAAGTATGGGGGGGCTGCTAACAGAAAGATCAGCAGTTTGAACCCACCACTGCTCTGTAGGAGAAAGAGGGGAAGTTTTCTCCTGTAAAGATCTATAGTCTTAGCAATCTGACAGGGAGTTGAAATGTGTTGGGACCAACTCAACATCAGTGCAGGCCTTTGTTTCGGAGTCCCAGTGGGGCACAGCCTAAGCACTTGGCTATTAAGGAAAGGTCAGTGGTTCAAATCTACCAGACACTCATTGGGAGAACTATGTGGTGTGGTGGCTCTGAAGACAAGAGCCTTGGGAATCCTATAGTCATTTCTACTCTGGCAGCAGGGGCTGTGTCCTCTTTCCCTCTGCTCTCTCATAGATGAGATATTAGTGCTATCTACACAGCCCAGGTTTAATACAAGCCCAATGAAACTGAACCCAGAACTTGTTGCTATTGCTGTTATGTGCTGTTGAGTTGCCTTAGACTCATAGCAACCCTATGTACAACAGCTCTGATGCCTGAGGCCTGACCTGTCCTGAGCCAGTCTCACTGACTCCGACATATCTACTCTCATTGCCCCAGTTACTGTATCAATCCATCTCATCCAGGGTCTTCCTCTCCTGCACTGTCCCTCCACCCTTCCAAGCATGATGTCCTTCTCCAAGGATTGGTCCCTCCTGGACACATGCCCAAAGTATGTAAGACAGAGCTTCATAATCCTAGCCTTCAAGGAAAAACTTGGTTTCATTCTAAGACAGACTTCTTTTCTTTGCCATAATGGCATGGTCAAAACTTTTCTCCAGCACCACAACTCAAAGGCATCAATTTTTCTTCTGTCACCCTTAGTCATTGTCCACCTCTCTGATGCATAGCATCTTGTGAAGACTGTGGTCTGGATGAAGCACACCTTAATCTCTAGACTGACAATGTTGCTTCTCAGTCCTCTGGAGAGGTCCCTGACAATACCCTGAGGTACTGTTAGAAAACTTCTAGAGATATACACCTCTGGATATTCTAGGACATTTCTGTTTCTAGCAATTCAGAATCTTGCAGATTCTGCCTTGCCATTTGGAGGTTCCTAGGCTGAGACAGAAGATAGGGTAGCCATAGTGTGGGAAGTGCCATAGGCAGGGCATGTGGTCAAACAACTGGTGGACCAGGGCAGGGACTGCATGGCACATCCTACGCATGTTGTCTCTTTCCAAGGAATGGCCTTTCCTAGCAACATGCCCAAAGTATGTGAGATGAAGCATTTCTATCCTTGCTTCCAAGGAGCACTCTGACTACACTTTCTCCAAGATGTATTTGTTTGATCTTTTGGCAGTCCATGAGATATTCATTACTTTCCTTCAATACCACAACTCAAGTGCATCGATTCTTGTCATCTATATTCACTGTCCAGCTCTAAGATGCATAGCAAGTGATTGAAAATATCATGGCCTAAATCAGGCACACCTTAGTCTTCAAACTGACATCATTGCTCCTCTTAGTTCAGAAACTCAGGAAGACTCAGAGACAGTGGAGGCCCTGGTCATTCACTCCTTGCTGCCTCCTTCTTCTGACTCAGCCCTTTTAGAAGGAAATCAGTTATACCCAATGGGATTTAGCCATGAATGTGGAAGGCTAAGGGTACTAGGACCAACTGAATTAAGGTCTCACAGCTGGGACCTACCCTCATTAGGCCAATGCATGTGCTTTTCATTATAGGTTCACATCCAAGTGTCTAATCAGAGTGACATCTGCATTGATTATGAAAATGAACTTTTCCTGACTTGTGCTTTGTCTTAGAGAGGCAGAATGTTTTCCAGGTGGAATTTCTTGTCAGGACAGGAAGCATTCAAGTCACACCAACAACTGACTTAGGGCCTAGAAGTATCAACTGAAACACATGTAAGGTGTGAGTGAATTGCTTGTCATTTATTCTGCCTTCTCATCCTGAGTCTATTCTGTGCTGGGTGTGTAGGATGCCAAGTTGTGGAGAAGTCCTGGCCCCATGCATGGAGGACCTGGGATTGCTTTTCATGGGTGAGCACTTGAGTTGACACAGAATAAGCACAAAGAGGCCCCTTATGTGGAGTTTCAGGTCCTCTGAGTCCCAACCTCCCTGCCCCTCAGAGCCCCCCAGTGCTGGGCCCTTACCCAGATAGGCACCGTGGTTTTTGAGCTCCTCAGGGAACTCCTTCAGGTAGGACTCTCGGTGAGGGATGACCTTCCCGCCACTGGTCTCCTTCAGCACAGCTCCGTTCCAGTCATAGGCGCCAACAGCTCCCAGCAAAATCCCGTCCTGACATTGGGGAGGGGACACACATCATTAGCTCGAGTCTCCCAGGTGTCCCTCACCAGGTCCTGGGACCAGTCACTTCAGACACCTTCTCCCAGACTTGTTACTTAGTGATATACCCTTCCAGGCGATTGGCTTTGAATAAGTCCAGAAGATTGTATGTCATCATATTGTGAGCACAAAGTGGGTCAAACCGATCTCAAAGACAGGATTTTAGGATAGAAAGAGTGTTCTAGAAAAAGTCAAAGCCAAGACCAAGCCTCCATTCACCTTTGGGTTGCAAAACCCTCCCAAGGAATTTTTTGTCACTTTCTCTCCTTTTTTGAGGCTCTTTTAAGCTGTACCCTTTATCTCCTTCTGTATTTTTTAATTTAATTTTATTTTTTAAAATTATTTTTTGTGTGTACCATCAAATCAAATCTGACTGGTACAGGAGGAGATTGCCCCGCCTTCTCCAGTAGTACATCTGGTGGATTTGAACTGCATACTTATGGGATTTCAGTGTAGCTTCTTGCCACTAGGCCACCAGAGCTCCCCTTCTTCTGTATTCTTTTGCATTGTCACATCTTCCTTGTGTTTATATCTCAGCTCCTGTTCACTTTTTTCAAGAAATCTTCTCTACATTGTGCTAGGCATTTGCTTGGTTTTGGGAGTACTGTCTCAGCCCTCCCAGACTTCAAATATACCAAACCAATGTATAAAGAAGCATCTTGTTGCAAATGGTGGCAAGTGGGCTGAGGGAAAACCACAATGAGATCTATTTAAGATTGAGATTGGGGATCAGGAACAGCCTTTCTGAATAAATGACAAATACTCAGACACCTCAGAGATGGGCAGGGTCAGACAGCAGAAGAGAGCTGGAGCAGGAGGCAGCTTATGCAAAGGCCCTGAGGCTGGAAAGTGTGGAAAGTGTTTGCATTTAAGGAACTGAAAGTTGTTTGGGAGACTGGAGCCCTGAGGAGGAAGCAGCAGTGTGGCTGGACAGACATGCCAGGCCACATCTGTGACAATCAACCTCCTGAAGAGCTTGACTTCCAGTTCTTAGCAGGTTTTCCCCACTCACCAGCTGCAGGATAAAAAGACAGGAAGCTTCCATGTAGCTGACTCCCAGGTCACTTCCCAGGGCTGGGGCTACTCACTCTTTGGTTCTCCTCTGCAAACCCAACCCCAACTGATTTCACACAATAAGGGGGCACAGAATACAAATAGAAAACAGAAGAGGAAGAGGAAGAGGAAGACAAGTTACTCAGGGATAGCGAGGGGCCCAAAGAAAGAGACGACTGCAAGCAGGGAGGGTTCAGCCCCAGGGTTGGTTACCTTGGTGTCTAGGGGCTGAGGGGTGTACAGATTCAATCCCAGCCTTGGAACCAGCCAGTGAACTCAGCTCTCTCCCTTGGTGTGCAGCTGGCTTGCTAGATGTGAGGTTCCCCTCCACCACTTAGGCCTGAGACACTCATCTCCGTGTACCAACGGAACAACATGCTTCTGGCCAGTCCCAGTGGAACCATGACCAAACACAGCGGCAGGGCCATCAACCATTCTTGTTGATGGTGGTGAAGGTAGCAAAACGGCGACCCTTAGCCTGGGCACCCTCTCTTCAAGGCTTCACGTCAAAGAGTTAAGCTGAACACAAGCTTAAGACTCCTAACACTGGAGGAACTGGCTGTTCACACAGATTATTTTTAGGGCTATAAATCGTGCTGGTCTTGGGAGAGTCTGCCTTGCTGCACTATGTTCAACATCCCACTTTCTAATTAGCCTTCCGCCTCCTCCTCCTCCTCTTCTCCTGTGCCTGTGCCTCAGCCCAGAGGCTCTGACAGTCAGCTGGGGCTAAGATTGAGGCCAGGGCCTCCAATATTGAATACTCCATGTCCCCAAAGTCATTGCCCAAATTTTTGAGCGGAGGGTGTGCTCCGTTCTTTGCACAGGGTATATTCTCCAGCTTCACAAAGGCCCCCCGCTCCCCAGAGGCTACTGCACTTGACAAATGAAGCATCTGGGGTTCAGAGAGGGTGGATGACTTCCCTGGGGCTAGACAGTAATTCAGAGGCAGGCTGGATCAGGCAGAATACCCCTCTGCTTCCCACAGCCTCACAGGGGCTCCTGCTTCTAAAGTTTTATCAGAATCCCCCACTGGGAGGAGCTCTCCAGCCTCACCTCTCTCTCTCTCCTCTCTTCTACTCTTTGTCTGCTGAATGCAAATTTGACTGCATCCTACTGCTTTGCTTCATAGAGAAAGGCACTTTTGGCTTTGTGGATGACAAGGACCCTGGTGATGTGTTGTAAATAGGTGTTTAACCCAGGTGCCTAGATGTCAGCTGGGGCAGACCCCAGGTATGATGAGGGCTTGGGAACTCCACCAGAACTTCTGGATCTGGCAGCCCTGAGCTTTCATATATATCATGCTATATTCGCCTTCAAAGTGGATACAGGCTGAGAAAGGAAGGGGGGTGCTTTCCTGAAAGTGCACTTAGTGATGTGGGTAAGGAGTGTCACCAGCACAAGTTCTGTGAGGGGTGAGCCAGCCAGGGGCTGAGAGGGCAAGCAAAGGCCATCAAAGCAAGCCTCAGCATGTCACAGTCTTTTCCCAGCTGGGGGAACCCAGACATTCTGCATTTGGGAAGAATCGGGAAGGGTGGGACTGGTCTTGGAGCAGGGAAGCCAAGGAGGCAGGCCCAGCTGGAAAACAAACAGAGTGGCACCCTGCCTGGGGCTGCCTCCCCGATTTATGGCCTCTTCTCCCCTGGGGCCACCCAGCTCCTACCAGATAGTGTCAGTGTGTGCTTGGGTGGCCTGGCATGTGCACATGGGCCCTGCACACTAACTGACTCTCCTGTGCAGAGACGGGCAAGCAGGCTCGGCAGCCATGAGCAGGTCCAAGGCCAAGCTTATGTCTTCTCTGATCACCCACACCTACACTTACCATTGGCTCTGGCCAGCTCAGCTCTTAGCTACCCTGAGCTCTGTCCCCCTGTAGTCTGCCTTCTCAGTCACACTGAACATATCCTGGCTATGCGACCCTGTCCCCTAAGATTGTGTTTCAGCAGACCCATGCCCCAAGTCAGGGTTGGCCCCAGCCCCAGCCCTGGAGGTTGTTACCTGGGGGGCTTTTGAACCTCTTCCACCTAGAGACATCTGATAGTGACTGGAAATACTATTGGTTATTGTCATATTTTGTGGTAGTGGCATTACTGGCATCTAGTGAGCAGAGGCCAGGGATGCTGTTAAACATCCTACAGCACAGGGCAGCCCACAACATAGAGCCACTCGGCTCCAAATGTCAATAGTGCCAAGAGGGGCAGAATCTCGGGCCTGTGGGTGGAGCACGAGCTCTGGCGGAAGACATTTCCAGTTCCAGTTCTAGGTCGGAAGCTAGCCAGTCTACCTCATTCTCCCTTAGCTCCTTCTTCAGCTGGAAAGGGATTCTGTTGTGAGAATGTATATTTTTAATGCTTTGTGTGGTGCCTGATCACCATTACCTGACAGATATTCGCTCTTCTCATTCATTAACTCATCCATAAAGCCTCTTGTAAGAAGGCAGAATCAACCGCCACCACTTTATATGTATAAACACCCCCCATGTTTATTGCAGCTTTGTTCACAATAGCAAAGAGTTGGAAACAACCTAAGTGTCCATCAACAAATGAATGGATAGAGAAGCTGTGGTATATTCACACAATGGAATACTACACTGCATTGAAAAACAAGGAACTCATGCAATATTATTCAAAATGGGTGACCCTGGAAGACATTATGCTGGTGAAATATCTGTCACAAAAGGACAAATACTGCATAATGCCATTGTTGTAAAACAGGACTGACATCAGGGTTGGGGGTAGACTGAGAAAGAAGGGATAAATAATGTATACTGCATTGAAACAGATGAGGGAGAAAACTGTTTAAAAGGGATATGTGATTAGGTATTATTGTCATGACAGGAGTCCAGAACAAAGGCTGCATAGTGGAGTGGACCTGGGGGGAGGGATTGTAAAACAATGAAAGACTTTTTCTTTTACTTTTCAAAGAGAAGAGTGTTCTGGGGAGGAGGGGTGGGCAGGGAAAAAAGTACAACAATGAATGAATGGAAATCCAAAGTCTCTGTAAATTGTCATTAAAATTAACAATGATAATAAAAACCCAAAAATAAAATAAAAAAAAGAAGGAGGAATCAAGGGAGAATCAGACTTCACAGGTAAGTCACAGCAGATGAGTAATCACAGCACAGCATGAGAAAGCAAGTAGAGGCGTTTTTTTGGTGGGCTCAGAGGAAGGACAAGGTGGGAGTATAATGGAGTGAGGAAATGATTTTAAGGAAACGTTACTTGAGTTATTGCTGCTGTTACTATGTGCTGTGAAATTGTGATTCATAACAATCCTATAGGACAGAATTGTCGTTGTTGTTATGTTGTCAAGTGCCGTTGAGTCAAGTACGACTCAGTGATCCCACGAATAGCCAACCTGAACCCTGTCCTATCCTGTGCCATCCTCATCATCTCTGACACACTAGAACCCATTGCTACAGTCACTGTGTTAATCTTCCTGGTTGAAAGTCTTATTCTTTTTCACTGCCCATCCACCCTTTCAAAGCATGATATCCCTTTCCAAGAAACAGCCTCTCCTAGCAATATCCCCAAAGTCTATGAGTTGAAGTTTCGACTCATACTGTACACACAAAGCTCCTTGCTTCTGAGGAGCACTCTGGCTGCACTTTTTCCAGGACATATCAGTTTGGTTTTTTGGCAGTCCATGGGATACTGAGTGCTTTTCTTCAAGACCACATCTCAAAAGCATCAATTTCTCTTCTGTCGTCTTTATTCATCATCCAGCTCTCAGACTCATAGCAAGTGATTGAAATAGATCATGATCTGAATCAGGTGCACCTTAGCCTTCATACTTACATCATTGCTCCTCAGTACTATGGAGAGGTCTCTGACAGCAGATTTGCCCAATGCAATACATCTCCTGATCACCTGACTGCTGGTATCAAAGGGGTTGATTGTGGA